CAAAAATGAACTAATTTTTTTTACGTATTGTGCCTCAATAATCATTTGTGCTCAATAGTGCATTTATTCGCACCGTTTGTGCCTTTTTGGTTTTGGAGATAATAGGACAAATCAAATGGGGGCAACTTAAATCGTTATTTTTTTGTTATTTGTGACATTTTCAACTAACTACATACGAAATTAGATCATTCACTATAGTAGTAGGCGAGAGACACTTTGTAACCCCAAGGCCCATTCTCCAAACGAGTACCTATAACTTTTGTTTGAAAAGTTATTTTAAAATTTTGTTCCTTAACTCATCCAGTATGTACACAACCAATTTCGTGGAATTCTCTCCATTTTCGTTGTCCGGCCAAGAATTGCAGTGGAACTTTTTTTTCGAATTTTCAAAAACTAATTCCAGATTCGTGATTTTTATGTTCAAAAACCGCCAGGCACCAAATTTCGTCGAAGCAGGGGTGCGCCCTTCCGTGATAGGAATTTTGAAATTTTTTTCAAAATCGGAAAGGGCATACCCGAAAACCTAATTAAAAACGTGTCACTCATCTTTGTAACTGTTGTGTAGTGATTGTTTCAGGTACGGTGAAAATTTTTTTGCGGTTTTAGGTCACTAAGTAGGTCTATTTTAAGAATCCGCCCAAAAATGTCTGCAAAAAATACAAAAATTAAATTTTTTAAAAATATGGGCATGTAGCACATCGATTTTAGGGTTTTGAAGTTTTCTGAATTTAAATTTTTAGTTAAAAATGTTTTTGGGGGCATTTTGGAGGAGTGGGGGGTGTTTTTAAGGGGTGGGTTTTTATATTTTTTCAATATTAACGTGTCGTACATCGATTTATATGTTTTTTATGGATAAGGATCCCGAATTCCATATCAAAATGGAGGTACAGCAAGTTATTCAATGTTAAAAAAGTAGAACGACGCCGACAGACGGCCCGAAAATAACATAAAACGCGCGGTACGCCTCGCCCGCGCTGCACGACATCATTTTAATAAAAAGATAATAATTTTGACGCTATCTTGTATATCTTTCTAGGATTTATTCAAAAATCATACTTTGACATCAAAATTGTAATCTCCACCCCAAGAAACCTATAAAAAGACGTATTGCACTTGTTATAATTATTATCTTTTTATTAAAATGATGTCGTGCAGCGCGGGCGAGGCGTACCGTGCGTTTTATGTTATTTTCGGGCCGTCTGTCGGCGTCGTTCTACTTTTTTAACATTGAATAACTTGCTGTACCTCCATTTTGATATGGAATTCGGGATCCTTATCCATAAAAACATATAAATCGATGTACGACAAGTTAATATTGAAAAAATATAAAAACCAACCCCTTAAAAACACCACCCCAATCCGCCAAAACGCCCCCAAAAATATTTTTAACTAAAAATTTAAATTCAGAAGGCTTAAAAACCCTAAAATCGATGTGTTATATGCCCATATTTTTTAAAACTTTAATTTTTGTATTTTTTTGGCCGCCATCTTGAATTTCTCAAAATGCTCAAGGGTGTCAAGGTGGCATTCTCAAAGTAGACATCCTTACGAACAAAAAACCGTCAAAAAACCTTCACCGTACCTCACTTCCAGGTTAAGCCAAAAATCCCAGTTTGGCATCCAGATTATTAGGGAAGCGATTGAAGAATGAAGGGCACGTCACGGAGAACGGCAGCGACCGCGCGGTACGGCAATAGTGCTGTCGCTTGTTTACTTACATGTTTTCTATAATATTAATAATTATGTTTGTGTGCCAATTAATATAGTTTGCGTTGAGCAGTTTGTTGCTGCCCTTTCTTCCAGTAAGACAACACAAAAGTAACTGGTGATTGCTGAGAAAAAAATTAAAGAACTCCAAATTTCACCACTTCTTTGGGAGTGGCTCCCAAACGAAACACGTTTGACCCTCGGTTTATTTGAAAAAAAGTGCTTATCTTGAACCCCTCGGCCCTCTATTACCCAATTTTCACCCTGTATAACCAACTTTAAATGACATCCTTACCTTTCCATGTCTGTATATATTAGAAGTTTTAGTTTTTGTTAAGATGAATTCAGACATTTTCAATCGTCTGAACGTTAATCATCAATATAACACAAGGTATGGTCATAAGCTGCAGTATGAAAGACATAATCTGAAAAAGTATAAACAAGTATAAATTGTGCACAACTCTTGTACAGATAAAGCGCATTTTTTAACCGAAATAGCTTTTGTTTTGACATCACTAATTGATATATTTCTTGCAGACGTCTCAATCGCCCTTTGTGAGTACCACGAACTTATAAATTAAGATGGACTGTTAATGCTGAATTGACAAATGACACCTACATGGGGGCCGCCATGATGTGCACTCACATGGCGCGAAATTCAAATCAACTAATAAACAAGCATTAACCCAACATTAACCTCACATTTTCTAAATAAATTACTGTGACACATGTCATTTTCCAAGGCTGCAATAGTCTCAAAACTTGAGCACTAGGAAAATTCCCCTAGAAAATAACTAGAATGTGCACATCATGGCGGAGCCCATGCTAGGGCCATTTCTACCTCTATGCAACTGTTTGATCAGCGGTCCATCTTAATTTATAAGTTCGTGTGAGTACCCTCTTCCGACAATCCGATCTTGAGGTATAAGGGAATATACCTGATCACGATAAGAGGTTGAGGAGGAGGGCTATGGTTGGTAGAAATTAATTCCTTTCGTTGAGACTCTTTTCATTAGAGTATCATGATGAAGGATAAAACCAGTTCCACCCCCCCACCCTCTGATCTCGAAAATGAGTCGCCCGGAAAAGCTATAGTTTGTACAAATCAGTTTCTTTTGATGAGACCTAAGCGTTCACTTAGCCCCAGGCTTAGCCCCCCATTTGATTTTTCCTATTATCTCCGAAACCAAAAAGGCACAAACGATGAGTATGAAAGCACGATTAAACACAATCGAAGTACTACGCAATACCGTCGATGAACTATCAAAAAGTTTAATTTTTTGGAGGGCTAAGCGTTCACTTAGCCCCCATTTGATTTTTTCGATTATCTCCAAAACCAAAAAAGCACAAACGGTGCGCATAAATGCACAATTGAGGCACAATACATAAAAAAAATTGGTTCATTTTTGGGCTAATGGGGGGCTAAGTGAACGGACCCTATGATAAATGTATGTTCTCTTGATTTATTTTTTGACGGTAAAAAACATTCCATTGAATGCGATTGACGACTGCGTCTTTTCTCTTGCTATGGAAATTCATAATAGCTTTGAAATTTCTTATTCGATCCGTAAACTCGAGAACTTAAGCCGTTCTCTGCATACGACTAGGAAAGCGCTTCAATAGAAATTATATGGGTCGAATAGCGTGTCTAGGTGTGGGACTTAGTATAACATTTTGAGTAAATTGGATTCTATACCGTGTTGTTAGGTGCCGATGTAAAGATAAAGGACACATCTATGCCTCTATTGTAACAGATTTTTGATTTAATACTCGAATTTTGCATAAATAATTGTAGAAGTACTTGATATTTATGGTATTTTCAGGTGCCGTAATTATTAATATTTAAAAAATATCAAAAATATGTTACAAGAGAGACGTAGAAAAAGGTTTAGAAGCAAACGTGCCGGCATGGCGTTTTCGAGTCTTCGTTTCGTAAAAGTGCAATACAATTTCTTTCATGAAGCCGATTTAAAAAACCTTTCATTTCACATCATAATATAATATTGCACTTCTCTCATTTGAATTTTAATGTTGTTGTTTAAAGTACTTAATTCCAAATTTTGTCTCAAAAACATGTTATTTGTGCATTTATATACGGAAACAGCAATTAAACAATATCTGTAAATGCTCGCACAACTGAGACTGACAGTATATTGTATATTCTGAAATATCCCAAAACATTGTCTATAGGTACAATAATAGTAAAGTTTAATTTCGATCTTAAAGTCTACATAAGGTAAGATCGTTGGAATCAAGATTTACTTGTAAGTTGATAACTTTGACGTCATTTCCTAAGAGGTGTGCAAATAATAACATGTATTACGTAAGCATAAGTTTGTAAATACAGAGATAATATTGCAATACGATCTTCACCTGCTGTTATAACTCCCACGCAGTCTACGAGATAAGTACGCGAAAGTAGCGTCATCTAAAGAAATCTAATCACTTTGATTCAGTTGAGTAGGTGGTATAAAACCTCGATTAAAATTTAGTTACTTTTAATAAGCGGAGTTTGTCCCAGAGGGCAACCTACGGAGAAACTCCGTTAAAGTGGACCCTTCAAAAAGCATTGCGTTGTCTTTCTATTCAGATTTATTATTGGATTATACACACGAACAGAAGGCCTAAAGTATTTAAACAATGGCCGAGGTTAATAATTTGATTCATCCTATTACATGTTCGTGGTTCGCAGATGGCGCTGTAAATATTTTAGAAGTACCGCCCATGCAATGCAGATGGCAGCACACAACATTTTGTTACAGACTTCGAATACAAATAGCACAGATTTATAGTCTGTGCTAATAGTTATAAATTCAATGCTAATATCACATAAAGAAGGATACGCTGCCTCGCCAACTCCCGCGAGACAATATCTTTAGGCTTATGCTCGTGGTTACACCGCAAGCGTATTCGCGCGAATACGAGCGAAATAATTGGTGATGTTTAGATTCGTATTATTTGAGAGGTTCGTGCTATCAATGCGCATAGGTACTTTATAACCACGTCAACAAGTTGTAACACGTTTGTATATTCGTTCGCTTGTATTCGCGTGAGCTTCCAATTCGCGCGAATACGCTTTCACCGTAACCAGAGCCTTAGCGCAGATTGTTTTGCTAGTACGGGTCAACTTTGAAAGCTTTGAAAGTGTGACGCAAATTATTTGCAAAAATCGTATAAAAAATTCAGGAGTTTATATTGGAGAGATGTATAAGAAAGAATTTTAAATTGGTTGATAAAACGGGAGATTTCTGTTTTTAGTTCAGTTGTGTTAATGTAGGTATATAAAAAATGTGTAAGTAAAATACTTTATTTCTACAGAAGTACTAAATCACATTGGTTATTTACCTAAGTACCTACTTATTAAAGAATTGCGCGCTTAATTAACTATTAATTTAAATCTATACAATAAAAATATGAACAGCAAAAATAGGTATCTTATCAATTTTTATATTTAGCTTGGCTAACATTTAAACAAAACTTTCTGCCTTAGTGGTAGTTTTAAATGTATGATTGTTTAATTGGTGCTGGAGTAAAAGTTAATACAAAATATGTCTACAACACTTTTATCATTTGTGCATCATTTTTTCTTTTAAATCTTTATTTAAATAATGAAGGACGTAATGCAGGACGAGATCATAACAATATTTATATTCAGTCTGAAACAAAACGTGTTAATGCTGTCTACACCCGTAATCTGAAAATGTTTACTATAGCTTCCACCAACTGCGGACGATGTCTTCGAACTGTCCTGACGGCTTGAAAAATATCTACCTCTCCATGTTGTATTACTTGCTCTATGCATGCATTGGCGGCACAGTATACACCACATCGACTTCGTCCATCCCTATAAATAATACAACGTGTTATTCAAGTAAGACGTTTATTCCACGTTTGTGTATTCTTGTAGTCAATAGCCTTTTGTTTTGATAACTCGATAACTCGGAAACGATTGGATTTGTTTACTTTATACTTCTTACAAATTTTGCTTAAAATTGAGAACTGAAATATCGAATAATATACAGGATATTCCATTAAAAAAAATTTGGTGTTCTACGCGTTTATGACCAATCCTGTATAATTAAAATTATTCCTGCCATTGACGAACTCCAAAGCTTTTGTATTAAACTTCTTGTACCTATATTACCCCGGTAATCGACCGTTTCCAGACTTATCAGCGACCCTGGATATAAAAAAGAAGAGTATGTTTATAAATTGAACAAAAGTTCGTCGCTTTGTATTCGATTTGAAAAATCCTAATACCCAAACATCAGCACAATTCAATAATAGAACTATGGAATGCCGTTTTAGTAAAAAGGCATGAAATTATCAAAAAACAATTTATACAACATTCATAAAACATATTAAAAAATTGTTAAATCATATTCGAACATTTCAACAAATTGTGAGTTGTAAAATATTTAAATACAAATTTATAACATTCTTTAAATTTCTGGCATTTTTACTAAAACGGCGTTCCAAAGTATTACCTGTAAAATTATTAGAAATTGGATTTGGCTGAATATAATTGCAAACAACACAAATTGACCAACTACAAAATGTTGGTGTTTTAATTTATTGGAAAAGATAAAAACGATTGAAAATTTCATAAATATCGCAAAGCTTTAAGTTAAAAATAGGTTCAAATAAAACATATGAACATATTTTTTTAACTGTTGTGGAAAAACGTTTGGGGTGCTTTGAAATGCATACTTTTGGCACACGGATCATCAAATATAATATTACTTAAGAAAAGATCTTAACGTTTCATAGAATACAATTTTGTTTCTCAAAAATAACATCATAAATATAACACTTGTAGAAAATTTGTATTCACAACACGGGTTTAATATTTTTACATTTTGAAAGATATGATTTACATATACAAATTATTCTACGTATAAAATAAAGAGTTGATGAAAAAATGAACCTTAACACAAAATTTGATGTAAAGTAAGATTTAGAGATCGACGATACGCCAAAAAAATAACACTGCTAAAAATGAAGTTCAAGTATGAAAGTTTCTTTAAATGTTATTGAAAAAAATTTAAGTTGAATTTGTTCGAGTGTTATAAAAACGAAAATTGTAGAGTTAAATAATTTAAGATTATAAAAATATTTAAGTGTAGTGTTTTTACATTTCAGGAAATTAAATTGTAAAGATATACAAAATAACGTTTATAGTTTTTTTATTTCAGGAGATCTTAAATGTCGTAGATTAAACATTTGAGAAATATAAAATAATGATCTTAAAAAGTTAAACTAATATTTTTTTAAGTTCAATATTTTAGAGTGTTATAAAAATAACAGTCGATAATTTTCAACTTGCATTTTCACTAAAACGGCGTGGTAAGTATCGACGCCATCTACCGTTACGAAGATATGCAGACTTCTACCACCGTTGACCGTAATATACTGAAATAATATTACAGATTCCTTTGATTTTCACCCTAACGGATACTGAGCTATACGATCAGCTGTTTTTTTTTAAATTTAAATTTTGTAAAGGCAGGCGTTACTTGTTTTATTTAACTTCCTTTATGAAATTTGGGCAAAATGAATGAAATTAATGAACGTGACAATAACATTCTGTTAATAAAACGAAGAATTAGGCGGGAATTGATGGATGCAGAATGCAAAATTGTTTTACCACATGTTATCGTTTACTACACTTATTTGTGGTAAAGGTCCACGTTATCGAAAGACACCGCTTTGGTTACACGCATACTGGTTATGACCGTTAGGGTTAAGATCAAAAGAATCTGTAAAGCCGCGAAATCTCCATCAATTCCCGCCTAATTCTTCGTTTTATTAACAGAATGTTAATGGCCCGTATGAATAAAAGTAAGCAAATGCTTATACTTGCAAAATTCAAAGTAAATACTCGTAACTGCCCCTTCATACCGGTCTATTTAGCAGCGCTGCAATGCGTCCTGTCCTTCTGCTTAGCAGCGCTGCTAAGTCGCCCAGTGCGAAGGAGCACTTATGAGTATTTACTTTGAATTTTGCAAGTATAAGTATTTGCTTATTTTTATTCATACGGGCCAATGTCACGTTCATTAATTTCATTCATTTTGCCCAAATTTCATAAAGGAAGTTAAATAAAACAATTAACGGCTGCCTTTACAAAATTTAAATTAAAAAAAAACAGCTGATCGTATAGCTCAATGTGTATCCGTTAGGGTGAAAATCAAAGGAATCTGTAATATTATTTCAGTATATTACGGTCAACGGTGGTAGAAGTCTGCATATGTTCGTAACGGTAGATGGCGTCGATACTTACCACGCCGTTTTAGTAAAAATGCAAGTTGAAAAATATCGACTGTTATTTTTATAACACTCTAAAATATTGAACTTAAAAAAATATTAGTTTAACTTTTTAAGATCATTATTTTATATTTCTCAAATGTTTAATCTACGACATTTAAGATCTCCTGAAATAAAAAAACTATAAACGTTATTTTGTATATCTTTACAATTTAATTTCCTGAAATGTAAAAACACCACATTTAAATATTTTTATACTCTTAAATTATTTAACTCCACAATTTTCGTTTTTATAACACTCGAACAAATTCAACTTAAATTTTTTTTAATAACATTTAAAGAAACTTTCATACTTGAACTTCATTTTTAGCAGTGTTATTTTTTTGGCGTATCGTCGATTTCTAAATCTTACTTTACATTAAATTTTGTGTTAAGGTTCATTTTTTCATCAACTCTTTATTTTATACGTAGAATAATTTGTATATATGTAAATCATATCTTTCAAAATGTAAAAATATTAAACCAGTGTTGTGAATACAAAGTGTTATATTTATGATGTTATTTTTGTGAAACAAAATTAAATTCGATAACACTTCGAGATTTTTCTTTATTCGGTATAACATTTGGAGAAGTTAATTATATTTGAATATATGTTAAGAGTAATGTGACTATAAATGTTTTAAAATGCTAAATATTTATAGTTGAAAAATTTAGTACTTTTTACTAAAACGGCATTCCATAATAGAACAGTGTCTCTCCCTTCTCTTTTGAAAATAATATGCGCGATAAAAGATCATCATCACCTGGAACAGCCATTGAAAGATTTAGGGCAATAGTTTCTGAAGTATCCATTTCAAGATTGGAAAATGTTTCACAAATTGGTTCAAGTGAATGTAAAAGTCTACTGATGTTGAAGGCGAATACTTCGAAAAACAATATCTTTAGTTAATTATATGTTGCATATTGTTTGCTGATACTCTTCTTTTATTTCTTTTACTTACGGGGAAACTACACACACTGGACCATAATCCGTGCGTTGTCTCCATCGCTCCACCATATTCATTAACTCGACTAAAGAGTTTGTAGAGGTTGGCACTTTGTGACCCATCGGCCAGCACGTAAGTTGAAACAGCTGGACTGTCCTTGGAGGCGCTTTAACCCCCGCCATTAATTCAGTTAACGATACAATCTACAACACCATCCATTAAACATCATCAAGTTTAACGTGGCAACTTACTTTCTTATTGATTCTAAAAACCCACGTCTTAATGTTGGTATAGTGATTGTGCGAAATGTGATCGATAGTAAAAACTGGTCCATATTTTTTCGACGCTCTCCCTTCAGGCCAAAACGACGGATACGTTTGCTGTCAAGCGGTGTATTAGTACCTACTTGTAGGATAAAAACATGAATAGACATACCGAACTGTGGGGAGGTAAACATAAAACCACAACCGCGGCACATTCGTAATCGTATACTAGTGACCAAAATTCTCCTAATGTTGTTTTTACTGGCCACTCGGTGACAATGTATTCCCTCGGTTTGGTGTAGCCCTGAAAATGCATGTAATATCGTAAGGTTCACATATCAGGATACTTACGTCAACAAAAACTGCATTGATGTAGTCTGTAAAACTGTTTCCTTGAAATGACGTCAGGTAAGGACGGAAATTATCAGCTAAAACACGGTAGGTTATTAGTATATTGAACCAACAAGCAAATTCGAACGACGGGCGTTCTTCAACGCTCGTATCAGGAAAATAAGAAGTTAGGGAAAAACTAAGGTACCGCCACTCTCAAGTAGCTAGCGTGTCTAGGGACGCCAGGGAACGAAGTTAAAACAGTCGGTTGGAATTCAAAGCGGTTTTTCGCGTGCGGAACAGAGGAAAAGAGATTTCAAGAAGTGGCCGAATGGCGATCAATTGAGGGCCGCGGAATGCTACAGCCATGCGATTTTCGGTGAAAAAACTTCGGTCAACATGCGGTAAAGGTATAAAGTGGTAGGTACGCGATGCTATTGTTATATAAAATTAAAGCAACTGTAGCGGGTAGAAGGGCGATCTGAAGATTTTTTGAAGAAACGCCTCTGGTACTTTGATCGGCTGCAGTCAGGTACTCACAATTTCGGTCTCGAGTTAGGACGTTTGGAATTCACATGTAGGTCACGTAGAGCACATGCCAAAAGTCACCAAATCATCCTCTTATTTAAAAACAAAGAAAGGGAATTAAATATAAGCATTGAATAAGCAGGTGCTTATTCAATGATATTAGTAATAATGGCGGCGTAAATACAATTGCGTTCGCGTATGTAAATAACGCTAAGGTCAAAGTCCCAATCATTGTAAATAATTCATTTAGAGCTAGTAGAACGACTTACATCCGTCTGTTCGCTACCGCTGTCAAATTGGCAAAAGCTTTATTCACGGGCGATCAGTCTATATAAACGTAAGTGGATTGTGCGCGTAAAGCAGAAATGAGGCCACGGGATAAACACTACGAGAGTATAAATACGGAAATTTTCGATACCAACAGAGCAGTTGCCCGTCGTCGTTTTACGGAGCAACATCTGTGCCAGTCGCACCCGCAAATTATAAGCGCGTTTTCTTGCAATAGTGAATTGAGGCGACTTTTTTAAGAAAATCATGAGAAAGAACCGAGCGAAAAAATCTCCGTCCAGCCCTACATCGAAGGCGAAGACGATCCTTCACGGCACTCCGGAGAAAATTAGGAGGATTGGGAGATTTCCGAAGGAAGTTCGACTTTCTGTTCTACGCGCGGTCCGTGCACAGTCTATTTGGAGGGTACCGGAAAAGTCGCGTTGAAACCTGCCTGCCTGTGATTGACCGAACCGAAACTCGAATAGCGAGACCAAGACTGCACTCCGAATCCTAGTGCATATATCGCATAATCGCGTTGTAGTTTATCATCTTTGTTGTTCGCCCCGTCGGTCGTAGACTATTACACTGTCGTTTGTGCTATTGTAAAGGCGATTTAATCACCTACTAGCATTGCATTCAAATAAGTGCTTGAGAGCACTGTTTGCTTTCATTTTAACGACTGGAAGCGTTACTACTCGCATTTACAGCAGTTTGTTTTGATTTTCGATCTAATTGTCTACCAATTTATGAAACAAGAATTAAGTTTCCTTCTGTACTCTGCGGTTTTAGAGTAAATATTTAGATTTTTGACCAACGTAATAAAGACAGATTTTCCTTTCTATGCAGTGAATTTGTGTGAATGAATGAGTTAACCCTACTTTTACAGGAACGTACCGCCTCAACCCCCATTTCTTTTAACGTGTGTTATTTACAGTAAAAAGGCGATTTTCTAAGAGAAAAAGAACGTAGGTAATAGGTTTTAATAAAGACTTGATTTTTATATAATTTTACCATTTTCATAGTTAATACGCTCACAGTTCTTGCAACTGATTTTTAATACCCAAATAAATTCATGACGAAATATTTGAAAGTGTAAAACACACAAATGCCGACTGTTATGCAAACAATCATTGATATAAGTAATGGGTGCGTTCAGCTTTGGCGTTGCAAACAGCTGTGTAAGCGCTGAATACGGCTGAACGCGCCCATTGTAACATGTAGGTACAAATGTAATGATCATGATTATTAAGTAGGCAGTTACAGGGGAACACCCCACTACGCATGTAATATTGGCATGCTCTCACTTACGGGGAACAATCAGTACGTCTCTATTCTTTTTTCTGTTGTCTCCTCGGTGTCCTCCAGCGCAATCGCCAATGGAAAATCGCGGTGTTTGCTTGCAAATGAGCAAGTATTCCCTTTGGTACTCGTTCATTTTAGATACTGGATTTTTTAAAGATTTCTGTTTTAGCCGTTGCGACAATTCATTGACGGGGAACCACGAATTACCACAAATAATAAATTCCTCCAATGTATCGTAGATAAATTTGTATTGGTCCTAAATCAATCGATGATTAACACGAATCGAATTAGGTAAACATATTTTTTACTTACGACATTATCAACTAATCCTCTTCGCGATTGACGTAACTTTTTTAAGTAACCGAAAACATCAAACGTATCTTCCTCCTCACCTAATTCCATGTTGGCGTCAATAGCGAGATAAACTCCAGATCGGCCGCCACCGTCACTATCATTTCTTGGTTAATATCAAAATTTGATAATTCGCTACTTACTTGCAGTGTATGACCATAGGGCCGGCTTCATTCGATTTTATTCTGTGACCAACCACAGCCCTCACCCTTCTTCGAAATTCTAGTATGGAATTTGGAAAGGGGCAGTTATGACTGTGCCATTCTGTAAAGTGAAACTGCAATAAGTGCCGTTCTTCCGTGATGGTCTAAAAATAAGAAGAGAGCAGTTATTAAAAATTATTTGTTGATAGCGACGTAAGGAAAATTTTATTCCATAGAGGGTGCATGTAAAAATGAAATAGTGTGTCATACGATCTCGGTCAGAGTTGTTTTATTTTTAATCGACGCGGATATTGAAAGTTTCAAAGAAAAATGGTATGAAAGCGCAACAGATCAAAATTTCACTTTCATTTTCACGGTGCATGATACTCGCATACCATCTAATACAATACGCCTAAAATATGGGTTACGTAATTGAAATCTCCACCAGCTTAATTAAATTGCCTTTTTCCTTTCGTTACAATTTATAATAATACAGAGGGGTGGGAGTAAATTACAAGCAATTATTGCAAATTACAGTAAGAACTTACTTTTTGTTCAATTTGCTTAAGATACACAGCGGAGTGTTCCCTTGTGAGTGCTTTAAGCACCACTCGGAGAAAGGTTGTACACACTATATTGTTATAATCATATCTTCAACCTACTCTTAAAAAATAAATTACCTACATACCTTCGCCATGCTCCTGGTGGTTCTGTATGCAGGAATGGAGTACAATACGATTGTATGCAAGAAGCTGAACATTCAGCATTAATGCTGAAGACAGTCATTGGGAAAATTACCGTGTTAATGTTTCACACGAATTCACATCTCATTTTCTACAATGTCGCACATTCGAATTGGATTGTCATAAACAGCAACACGAAACGGTAATGCAGACGACAGAAAACTTTTCGTTTAGCGCATATACGAGTATACAATTCCCCAGTAATTGAGTAGGTATATTATCTCGAAGCTAATTTTCAATTCGATTTTACAATAGGTAAATCTTTTTATAGTCGTCCAACAAGGCTTAACAAATAACAAATGCTCACATTTGTACGTTAGGGCATAACCCCTTTGCCTCCGTTCTCGAGATCGAAGCTTTGACCTCGCCATCAGATAGAGCTAGTCTAGACCTATCAAATAACCGCCCGTTCCGACATCTCTTTGCCAAGATAGAATTGATTAAAGTATTGTCCCCATTGTTAGTGATCGGAAAATATAATGAGTAAAGAATATTTGCAATAAGAAACAAGTATAAGTTGTGCACAACTCTTGTGCAGATAAAGCGCATTTTTTTAACCGAAATAGCTTTTGTTTTGACATCACCAATGGATATATTAAATAATTATTAATGTTATCTCTCATTGTATTCTAATTAAAGGTCTCAGCGAAAGGAACCGTTTTTTACCAACTACTGCCCTTCTTTCTGTCCTCTTATCAAAGTACGGGCTAGAAGGGCAAGGGGAGAGTGGAACTAGTTTAACCTTCATGGTACTCTAATGAAAGGTCTCAACGAAAGGAATTAATTTCTACTAACCATAGCCCTCCTCCTCGACCTCTTATCGTGATCGCGGGTGTATTCCCTTATACCTCAAGACCGGATTGTCGGAAGAGGGTACTCACAAAAGGGCGATTGAAACGTCTGCAAGCAATATATTCATTGGTGATGTCAAAACAAAAGCTATTTCGGTTAAAAAAATGCGCTTTATCTGTACAAGACCTGTGCACAATTTATACGTGTTTACTAGGAGTTTACAGAAGGTAGAAGTCCCTGCTTTAATTTCTAGCGCTGTTTTAACCGCCGATAAGGAAACCAGTTGCCGTATATAATTGATCACTTTTCTAATTGTTCCCGTAGAGACATTTTAATTGTGTTTTTAGGGTTCGAAAGCTCTATTGACAGCGAAAACGGGAGACAATTGAATTAGGTATGTTATAGACCGGGAGGCAGCGTACATAGTAACTAAACCATAAGCGACAAAAAATTCGACAATACAGGCTGAAAGTACGTTGAAAACTAATAATAAAATCACTCGTCTGCCAGTCGTAAGTGGCAGCATTAACTTGAGGCGGCGCTGAATAGGTGACTTCTTTAGGTGATCAACAAAATTACCAAACTATAAGGGTCACGGAAAAGATTTGTATCAAGAAATCCCATTTTTCCCATAGTTTTCAAATATGCTATGGCAGACGATTTCAAGTGCAGCGTTGGTAGCGAAAGACGCTCTCCAATGTAGGGAAAAACACCCCTGAACTAAACCATGAGGATCGTATAAAAATTATACATAAAAAATTCCTTTTTTTGTCACTACTTTAAAATATATCCTGGCAGACGATATTAAGTGTAGCTTTAATAGTGGCAGACGTCTTAGAAGTTAAAAAATTTAGGTATAATAAATCCCAGCGAGTGCGAGCGTGTGAGAGATAAGCGCGCGAGAGCACAACGAACAGAGATAGCCATAGATTTACGCACCGCTTGGAGTTACCAAACGAATTAAATTAGGGAAAATAATAAATTGTTTATTTCGCGATAAGATTGTCGGTATTTCTTGAATTCTTCTCAGACTGAGAAACAGGAAACTTGAAGAGAAAAGAAGATAGATCTTCAGCTCGTTCTAAACTATCCTCTGACTCCAGTTCCGTTGTCTCTATGCAACATTGATTGATCGATGATTAAAATCGACAAGTTTGTTTTGCTGAAACTTTTTCGGAAGTATGATTTCTCCTAGTCCATCGCCAGTTGTAGATGTTGTTTTAATCGATGGATTTTTTTTGCATCTTTTAAAAGATCTCCGGTAAACCTTTGAGCGATTTTCTGAACACATCCTCGGCAAAATTTGTGCTGTGTCAGCGAGAGAAGGTAATCTTACTTTTGACAGATAGTTACCCCTTCCATGAAGGACGCAGAACATGATCGTTGGGATCAAAATAAGGAAAGATTACAATCCTACTCAATTTCTGTTTTCACTCAGAAGCAGCCTGCAAATTTCATAAAACCACTTCGCAATGATAGCTCAAAGCCTCTCTTATAGATTACTTATACCGTTCATAGGCAAAAAAGACCTGTTGCGCTTTACTTGGAAGGAAAGTTGTGTTTGCCACATATGAAGATAAGTGCTATAAATTTGTGACAAGGGAAGATGATGTGGTAAAAACTGAATTGTGCTGCAGCCACTAAGAGGCAGATTCTCGAATAATTTACCATCTTGGTAAACTACCAACAAGTAGCAAAGTCATTATTAGCGCTTCCGATATGGATATTGCTGTTATTGCTTTGGGAAATGTAAAATTGACGCCACCATCAAGGTACAGATGGAAGTAGGTCTCTTTTCCAATAACACGCAAAAATTCATAAATCTTCGAGAGATGTTCGTGTTTGGGTGTTGATGTGTGTAACGCGCAGGGTAACGCGTTACCGGGTTCCCACGCATTTACCGGATATATGACTTGTGTATGGTCCTCATGGTTTAGTTCATCGCAATTTGGGCGAATGTCACCGAAAAATGTCTGACCTTTTACAATCCGTCGGATTGAAGTGGATGGAACTATTTGAATGAGAAGTTTAGAATCAAATGGTTTGAAAGATCTCAGTAGTCAGTATCCTCTCGCTATCTCCGTTGGTTATGCTCTCGCGCGCTTATCTCTCACACGCTCGCACTCGCTGGGATTTACTATACCTAAATTTTTTAACTTCAAAGACGTCTGCCACTATTAAAGCTACACTTAATATCGTCTGCCAGGATATATTTTAAAGCAGTGACAAAAAGAGGAATTTTTTATGTATAATTTTTATACGATCCTCATGGTTTAGTTCAGGGGTGTTTTTCCCTACATTGAAGGGCGTCTTTCGCTACCAACGCTGCACTTGAAATCGTCTGCCATAGCATATTTCAAAACTATGGAAAAAATCGGATTTCTTGATACAAATCTTTTCCGTGACTCTTATAGTTTGGTCATTTAGTTGGTCACCTAAAGAAGTCACCTATTCAGCGCCGCTCCAAGTTAATGCTGCCACTTACGACTGGCAGACGAGTGATATTATTATTAGTTTTCAACGTACTTTCAGCCTGTATTGTCGAATTTTTTGTCGCTTATGGTTTAGTTACTATGTACGCTGCCTCCCGGTCTATTAAGTTTCTGTTCCGTTAATTACGTATTAGCAGCAGATTGTAGTTTCCCAATGGTATACGAAAACGAGTATTAAAACTGCAAGACCATGCAGCGTTACACAGTTATCGGCTTGAGAAAGTGCCACGTTGATCCGGCATACCAATTAACACTAGATTACTGATTTTAGAAATATTATCTTGCTAATTAGGTGTGCTATAGCAAAAATTTATTAGGGGGTCTTTCACTGTGCTCGCGTGTATTAAGAATCCTTTCTTCCACTCCCTTTAGTTTTAAAGATAAGCGTTTAATAATTTCCCTTCCGTTAATTATAAGGATTATTATACCGGGTGGTGACTTGCGTAACGCATCATAGGGATTTCAATGTAAAATTCATAACATGCGATTATTGACTCCCCAAATTATTTTAGAGCAAAAATGTATTAAAGTTTTTTGTACAACTGTTTTCGGTCGAAATCATCATTGTGACACCGAAATAGAAAAAATTTGTTTACGCCAATCAACCGTATTAGCTTTCAATATTTTTCATATAAAGACGGAAAATTGGAAAAATAACACCCGCATCTTTTTCAATAATCTGCGATGCCATGGAATTTTCTAAAACAAAAAGATATCCAGTTACCAATTAGCAGCATTTCGAAATGGATTTTATGATCGACTTGGTTACTGTCTTGCAGTTGATGGGGACTTATTCGAACATTTATTGCAAATTGTTATATTAGGAAACCGTTTTTAGTAATTTGGTCTTCCTTTATGTTGAATGCGCTGTTCTGAATAGAATAATTTTTGATAGAATTTGATTTGTTTTATAGCAGACATTCCATGGCATGGCGGATATTGGCGTAGTTGTTGTATTATAAAATTCCATGGCATCACAGATTATTGAAAAAGGGGGTTTTATTTTTCCAATTTTCCGTCTTTATTATGCAAAAAATTGAAAACTAATACGGTTGATTGGCGTAAAAAATTTTTTTCTACAAAAAATCTTAATACATTTTTGCTCTAAAATAATTTGGGGAGCCAATAATCGCATGTTATGAATTTTACATTGAAATCCCTATGATGCGTTACGCAAGTCACCACCCTGTATAAGGCTTTGCTTTTCCTGCATTTGATTTTCTGTAGCTACCGCTAATTAACTTATGCTTTGTTGCTTGCGTTCCCGTCAGGGCAATCGCTACCGTGTTAGTGTCCCGTAGTTCTGTTGTACGAATAGTTTCTTCGCTGGACGTAACCGTTGGCCAAATTGTGGACAAAAAGCTACGGATTCCTAGAATGACGGTGGCGTAATGTATCGCCAGTAATTTTACGTGGCGGTGCGAAAAGTTCCGACCGTATAACGATGAACTTGTAAATCTAGGACGGCAGTAATACGGCGAACGTGTTTGTGTTTGCAATGAATGAGATCGATCTCGCTTTACTAATAGGTAGTACTGGAAGATGAAGAATCTGAGGGGGAAGACGAAGAATCGTTCCAGCGATCAAAAGAGTCCCAATCTAGGTGCCAATTGTTTAAAAAGCGCGCAATGGAGGGCGCATACGAAATGTTGATATCTCGACTTTTACAC